TCCACACCGATTCGGCGTCGTCTTGAAGGCAATTAGCCAAGGCCAGCGTTTTTCTTGTGATATCTTACAATCATCTAAGATATCTCTGTCATGACCAGTCACCTTCTCCGTGGTTAAGGTGTTCAGTAAGGTCCTCAGCATCCTAAGTGTTTTTGCAGCCTTGGTTACGAGGAGGCAAGTATACAGCGGTGGGAAAGCATAAACAGTGGTAATAATTTCCATTTATTTGCACTATTTGACATGAAGATCTTTCTGCCGGTTAAAATCATGATGTGAAGTGTTCAAGGTTATTTCAGATAAAATTTGTCTCACCTTAATCCTTTACTTACTGCAGTTGCATTGGTAAACACAACATTTAGCAACAGCGAATTTCAAAATTGATTTTTCGTTTGTACTCTAGACGAAAGGCGTCCGTTTGCGTATTTGGCGTATTTTAAAGAGAAAGTTAATTTAAGATGCCAAATTTACAAGTTGAGCGTTCAATATCGAAGACAAAAATCAAACAGAACTTTTTAACACTTAAGACTGTATATGGCCTAGAGCAAAGTTACCTATATTAGGCCTATTTTAGAAAAAAATACTTATGGAATAGTGCCAAAAAATACTATGCATCTAGTAAGATCTGTTATATTTATCAACAAATATCAAAAGAAATCTAATTTGAATGCCAAGTATTGATTTTAATAATTTTTCAGAAGAGAATCACTAAAGAGAGCAGTAGCCTTTGAAGCTCACATTTAGTTAACAGCAAAGAATCCTCCCCAACACATATTCATCAAGATAGAACATGGACTGATTTATTATCACTTAGCAGGTCAACAATCTCAATCTTGCCAGAATATACAACAGAATTTTGACTGCCTTTGCCTAAACGTAATTGTAGAAAACCCCTGGATCCAACTCACAAACACAGAATACTTACAAAAGCATAAAACACACTTATCACACATAAATGCAGACAAAAACAAATGGATTGTGAGTGATTTCAACCTCCCCTACATTGATTGGACTGTTCTGTCCTCCCTATAACCCTTCAAACACCGACTTTGCTGCTCCCATCATCCCCCACATAAACAGACGCCAACTACACAACTCTTTCATTGACATCAGAAATACTCATTCACTCATGCAAACTGTAATCACTCCAACACGAACACAAAACTTCCTGATGGCATCGGTGACCCTCGCACCGCCTTGCACATTCTGAACCTATTCCTCACAAACAACGTTCTGGACATAAAAAGTACTAGGGTTATCCCAAGACTAAGTGGCCATGACATTATCCTTGTTGAGGCAGACCTTAGACCAAGCAGACAAAGGATATCAACTTCAGCATGGACTACTTTTGCACAGATCCCCACACAAGACCCTTTACTTCTAGTTGGAATAACTTTAAACACACCATACTCACATCCATGGATAAACACATACCACAGAAAACACTTTCAATACACTTCCCTAGTTCTCCAAGGACCTATGCAGACATCAGATGCACACAAACATACAACACTCCAGAAAATTGGTCTACTTTCAAATCCTAACAAAACACATTTCCAATAACATATTTCCTCAAACACATCTCCACCTACCTTGCAAACAATGTCGGAAACAACTGTAAACACTTCTCTAAGTTCGTTAAGTCTTACAGACATGACAGTACAGCAATCGCAGTCTTAAAATACTCTGGCTGACCCAGAACACAATATATGCCTATTCAACACTCACTTCCAATCCATTTTTACACATGAAGATGATAATACACCCGACATGCCAGATAGCCCACATCCCCCAATCCTGCCGCTTGATATCACCAACAGCACCCTGAAACTATTGACCACACTAGGCCCAAATAAAGTGACCGGACTAGACCAAATCCCTGCCATAATCTTGAAGTCCTGCGCCCCTGCCCTTGCTCCTGTCCTACAATCCATTTTCACCCAATCACTCATCTGAAGCATCCTGCTTGTAGACTGGCTTTGTGGAAACATCAACCCCCTTTTCAAGATAGGCGACCAAACAGACCCAACCAACTGTTGCCCCGTCTCCCTCACATCAATTGTTTGCAAAACTTTTGAACACGTCATACGCACCATGAATCACATTGACACCCACAACATTCTTACAGACTTACAACATGGTTTTAAGCCTAAATGTTCATGTGAGACTTAAAAAATCACTAGCCATCATGGCATTGCTTGACAACTTGAAAAGCGACACAAAACAAATTAATGCCATACTGCTCGACTTTGCCAAAGCCTTCGACAAGGTTCCTCACAGAAGACTGACACTTAAATTACAATATTACAGGATCACAGGACCAAGTTTTCACTGGATCACTGTTTTATTGATGTGCAGGTTCCAACATGTCCTACTTAACTGTGCATCATTTGACATTTGATGAAGGCTGTCTTTTATTACAACCAATTAAAACCAAGGATGACAGCAGACTACTCCAACACGACATACACGCCCTGGAACTAGGAAAGGTCATGGCAAATGACTTTCAGAACCGATCAATGCAAAGTACTCCATTTCACCAGATCATATACACCAATACAATACACCTACTCTCTACACAACCAACAACTGATACTTACAGCATCCTCTAAGTACCTTAGAGTTCAAATGATACTTACAGCATCCTCTAAGTACCTTAGAGTTCAAATGATACTTATAGCATCCTCTAAGTACCTTAGAGGTCACCTTACTTAACAGTGTTTATTTTAACACTCACACTGACTATCACAAACAAAGCAAAAAGAACACTGGGGTGTCTGAGGAAGAACCTACACAACTGTACAACAGACATCAAACACATCCCTTACAATACACTTGCATGCCTAAAACACAAGTACTGTACGTCTGTATGGGACCCCTACACCAAGCACAACATTGAGAAGCTCGAACAGATCAACAGTAAGGCTGCCAGGTTTATTACACACGATACACACATATACCTGGTATTACAACTTGCATAAAAAAAAGAAGATAAACATGGACCTGTTTGACACAAGAAAACCTGTGCTTCAGTCATGTACGATATCACAAACAACCTTGTGGATATTAAGAAATACCTACAAACAGCACATTCATGTACCTTACACAACTGAAACAGGGTACCACAACTCGTCATTGAAGCAAGAACACTTGATTCCTTCACTGACAAACTGAACAAACAGATTACATTATAAACTCCTTCACAAACACCAACACTGCCACATATACCCTAATCCTTTCCCCAACCTATAACAGCCAACCATACATATGTGTGATATGTGCTTATCAGTGCACTGCGCATTGCCTATTTAGATTGAGATTGAGACAGAGTGGCCTTAATTTTCTGATACTTATTTTTATTTATTTATTTATTTATTTATTATTATTTATTTATTTATTTTTTTTAATCAAATGGTGTCTAATTCCCGTAGTTCCATACAATGGGTTTTCTCCACCTGTGTGCAGTGTTCTAAACATTTTCCAATTGTTTTTTAAACTTCCAGTAGTTCATTTTAGTGTATTCACTCTTAATAGTAAATTTAGAGAGATCTATTATTCATAAGCCCTTTTTTCTGAAAATAAATTGCATGATAGAAAAGCACACAAACTTGACTAATTCCTTCATTAGTTTTAGTTTTTTATTTTATATATATTCATGTGAAACCAGTATTGTCATGACTGTAGCTTATTTGTTGTTACTGTCATTATCATTATTACTTTCATACTTATGTATAAAATTTCTTTTAATCTTCAGACTGGAAGAATGGGAAAGTACAAGAAATTGTCGTCATCTTATTTCAAATTTGTCAACCCGCTCATCATAGCCATGGTTGGAGCTGCGATGTATCTCATGGTGGTAAGTTAAATTACTCATTTTACTGTAGAATATATTAGATAAGATCAAATTTTATCTGCGGTTTTAATATTGCATATTTAGCTTGAAGTAACAAGTTTGTTAATTGTAATTATGTTTAAACATACTCATTTATGCATATATTTAAACATACATATTCTTTATTAGGAACTTTATTTTCATATATGGATGCTTATCTCTGTTGTATTTTTTTGTTTTAACAGATGGCATGGCTAGATCCTAAAGGAGTTTCTCCAGTGTTCTTTGGTCGAGTTGCAGAGTTTATTTCATGGGTCGGCACAGAAAATAATGACCTAATGAAGCAGTTGTACGTTCTGCAGAATTACTTCTTGCTGTTAATTCAGGCTACTTAGTAAATATGTGTTATTTGATTAGATCTTGTTAAATTTAACATACCAGGAAGGTGTGATATGTATTCTCTCGTTTTCATAATTTTCTTTTCTTTTCTTTTCAGGACTCTGTCTACAGTTGCCATCCATGCTTTTGAGTCTATATTAGCTCTCTACTATTGCCAAAAGTTGAAGCTAGATTCAGGTGTTACATGCTGCTGGATGATACAAACTCTTTTTATGGGAATTTTTTCTCTCCGTTTTCTTATTTGGCCTCAGAGAGAAGAAAAGTCAGCAGGAAACTCTAAGAAAAACAAATAAAGGCGGGGACATTTATAATTTTGTAAAATGTCTAAGTAAAAACATTTTTTATACTTGACAAAGTCTTACAATAAAATAGACTAGATCTACTATGTTTCTCTATACCTTTAGTTAAAAAAAAAAAAAAAAATTAACCCTATTACATGTTGCGCCAGTTGCTTTCACTGTGGAATAAAAGAAAAAAAAAGGATAGCAGAAGATACTGACACTGTTCACGTGAATGTTATTTGGAAACTTCTTTGTATTGCCAAATATATATTTTTTCTTTTTTGATGTATTGATTTCAAAACTACAGTATTATTTATAACATTGAAAACTACCTTATAATATCAAGGCCATGTATAAAGTAACTGTTATTAATACTACCAATATTTGAGCCATGAGCTCTATATTCATGTCCACTGTATTGTACTTTACTAATTTTATTTTCAAATAGATTGTTTACAAGTGCTTAGTTATTCAGGAGTTAATTAACCTGATGCTGCAAGGGGTTGGCATTTGCATACATGGAAAGCCCACTATTAGTTAAGTTTACTGTCTTTACACATATATAGCTCCACAAGTACTTAGTCACCAATGAGCCAGTTACTAGTACTACCTATCTCACCGGATTACCCTTTTTCTTGGTTTATGGAAATTTTTCTTCTATTGCTGTTGTTAGTGTCAGTAGTATTATAATAATTATAATAATAACAGCATCGATATCAATAGCATAAGTGAAAAATATTTTTTTCTCAGAATTCAAGGAAATATGAAACTAGAGGCCTTTTTAGTAGTGCAATGAAAGTTTCAACACGTAGGATTTTCTTCAACACATGCAATCTGGTGGCTGTCCAGCTATGTGTTGGTGGGCATGACATTATTGTAGTCTAATCCCTGTATTTTTAGTAATTAGTACCAAGAGTGTCAATAATTGAGATATTTCTTTAAATTAAAATATATCTGATACATTAGGGAATAGATATGATAAAGGCAATCCATGATCACACCATAAGAGATCATTTTATCAAAGATTTTTGGCACTTCTCTTGCAAGCCACATGAAATATATTCCTTATATAATTAAGAAAACTGTAAGTCTTCACTCTTACCTATTATATAGATTAACAAGGAAGATATTTTTTATCACATTGCAATTTATTGTTCCTATATTTTCCTTTTAGATTACATTTTTCTTGTCATGCTTTAGGTAAATATTGATTTACCAAAAAACTCATATCACAAAGGTTATCTTAAATTAATAATCATAATTATTAGAAAGTACTGCATATTGTATTTCAGCCTGGGTGGAAAAATCGCATAATGCCAATAAGTAAATCATTACAAAGTTTTACGTGGTTTCTGCTTAAATCAGAGATAAGTGTTATTATGAACTAGGGAAAGAGAATAGGTCAGAAAAATTCTATAAATCCTATATCTTGAATAATTAAATGCTTACTTTAACAATAATGATCATATGATAATGGTGTAATAACTGTTTTTATCTGTAATACATTTTAATCATATTCAAATGTTACAAATGAATGGACATTTATCATGAGGTTTATAATCGATTTTAAAGTCTACTGTATATGAACTGTGCGTAGTTCTTATCATCAGCTACCTTTCTCGTGCTCTCTCCCTCCATCCACCCTTCCTCTTCCTCTCTTTATAACTGTCCTTAGTTTTTCCATATTCTTACACCTGACAGTGCAGTTACCAACCAATCATAATCATAAGAACAAGGACGTCTGATTGGTACTGTTAAGAAAAGTCCAGTGTCTTGAGCATCCAGTATTTTATTAAAAAGGCCTTAGGTGAGTTCACAAAGTCTAATTGATGCTCTGGAGGATAATCACTTGTGGAGCCATCTGTTTGCAGACACATTTCACAAAATAATACTATAGTGAACACTACAGTTTCCTGATGACATGGAGTTAATAGGCTGTCATTTAATATTGGAGCAAGAGCTTTTAAATCTATTACTACACTCAGTATGGACCCAATAGTGCTGGAATATGTGATACTAACAGTAATATTGTTTTGTGAAATATATCTACAGTTCACAGAGATGGCTCCACAAATGCTCAACCACCATGGAGTCAATTAGTAGTCTGCATACACTTACCTTATTTTCCCCTTCTCTAAGTTTTCGGGATTCCTTTTTCTTCTTCTTATACTATTAATGTCAATGCTGCTACTATTATTGTCGGCATTATAATTACTACTGTTTTACTAGCAATACAAATAGCAAAATAAAATAAAATATTTCTGAAAATCAAGAAAAAGGGTGCCAGAGCAGTTGTGGAGACAATTGTCTGTAAATACAATTAATAAATGAACTCATTTATGCCCTGCCATGCCCAGCAATATGAAGTTGAAGATATTATCTTGATAAATGTAATATTTACAGTACTAATTGTAGTAAATTCAAAGAACTGGGTAAACAGTTGAGGTCAGGTAGGCATAGCAATGGATGCCTTATTAACTAAGCCCTTTTAGAGGATTGTGTTTACCATGATTAATAAAACATCATCTTGTGTATAGTATGTGCATAGATTGCATAATTCTAAGAATATTTATTGATTCATTATTATATATATTTTATTATTATTTTACGTGCCATGTAAATATAGGATTTTTTCTTTAATCTATATATCACATTACTGGTGTTAAACTTGGAAATGTGGTAAATAACACGGTTCAAGTTAGATTTTTTATTTACACCTTACATTTGTATGAGGTAAGAAAAGTGTAATATAATATATATACAATATGAAAACTAGTAATAAATTATACAAAACACTTATTATGCTATATACTAAAATTCAATATTTAATATTGCATGGTATGACATTACCTATATCATTTTCATAAGGCATCTTCATTAATAACTCACCCTCCCTTAATATCATTACATAAATTATTTTTGTTAACAAAGTATACTATATACTATGGCAAAAGATTTCTGGTCATCTTGTACATAAAAGAGTTGGTATTTATCCAATGTATTTTGTGTGGCTCCCCTTGGCAATGAGAGCACCTGACTCCTTGTTAGTTATATCTACAGATAAGAATGCCAAATTTCTTCCAACTCTGAGAGTCTCTGCATTGATGATAATTTCTTGTCCCGTTGTTGCTGCTTTCATGTATCTTGAAAAAAAAAATGATATTAGTGGCAAGCTTTTCCTTATGTTAGCAGAAAAAATACTGTAAAAACTTAAATATAATGATAATACTATACAGTTCTTAGAATTTCTAATTTTCACTAAACATGGCATTCCCCTAATATTGCCATTTCACACACACAAAAAAAATAATAAAAAAATAAATAAATAAATAAAGGAAAGCATTTCCTTGAAATAGAACAGAATCAGTGTCTAGAATATGGAACAGTTCCACCAGACTCATTGTCATCCTATAGCACTGAAACTGGTTTTGGTATCTATAATCTGAATCTGTACATCAAGAAGTATTTTGAACCAATAAAAGAAAACTTTGACTAGCATACAGTACAGCATAGTGGAAAAAACACAATGCACAGAGAAGCTTTAATGAAAAGTGATATGACAGTTTCAAAATCCTCTTGGATTTCATCTTCAGACCTGAAGGTGAACTCCAGGAGAAAACTGTTGTCTTTGTACATTGTGGGTTATTCCACTAAAGAATCAACACAGTAGTGTTTTAATCATCTTCACAGTAGAACATATATAACCTATGAACTGAGTGTTTTCAAATGGCAGAACATTTTACTTGTTGATAGTATGAAGAATTTTAAAATGGTTGTCCTGTCTTTCCATATAGCTAGTGTGAGTATATTGAGATATTTAATATTAGCAGTTGATTAGTTACACATACAAAGTCTGACACCAAAGAATAATCCTACAGACTTCACTATGATTTGATGAAGCACTTCATTACAGCACATTTATGTAGCATGCAATTTGAGATACTGAATGAATAAATATTATACAAATATGAAACTTTTAATCTGTTACTCTACATATCTCTTAAATTTTGAAAATCAACAAACACTATAAGGTTTCTTCAAAATTATATTTCATGTCATAATAATTTTATGAAATTTGGCCAGTGCAGAAGATGCATCCTACTACAGCTCCAACTAGCTTTGCCAGCCTATCAAAAAAGTCTTTCCATTCCCTTATCTACTGGCTTATGATGGGTTATTAAGATTTAAAAAGAAAAAATAAATATTTTCAATAGTTTGTATGGCTTAACTATATACATTATTATTCCAATAACCAGAGAGAGATTCAGAAAAGAAAAATCAATATTCAAATTATCAGTGGCATTTTAGAAGGTCTATAAGTCTTAAGAATCTATGGAAATTGATGAATATTTACTATGTCAAAGAATTGAATATTTGAAATGCTCATTTTCTAAAAATAAGGAACGTACTATAGGACATGCCATACTATAAAATGAAATGTTGCTATATATAGACTCTACAGGGACTTAAGTATATAAAAATATTGAAGAACACCATACAAGTATATAAGAATACTGAAGAATACCATACACTATGTACAAAAATGGTAAGGCATTACTTACGAAACATTTATATCTACTGAGACCCCAGGGACAGCTTTTTCTGTTGTCATTAGAGCCATTGTTGAAACAACATCAACTAGTGTAGCTGTGAGTCCTCCATGCAGAGTGCCTCCACGATTTTCATGTTCTTTCTCAACAGTCATTTCTGCAACACATTTACCATTGCCACCTGCCACAACACGCAGCTAATGAAAGGAAATTAGAGGATATATTAGTTATTATGACTCACACTGAAAATGGTCACTAGCTAGCATAAGCAAGGCTATTACAAACTGCTCCAATAATACTAGTGAAAATCTTTTAAGACAAAGATACATGTGGAAATGGATTTCATTTATAATGCTAAGTATGGGTCATAATCTAAATATTTCCACTGCAAATATATAAACAATAAATTTATTGGAAGAATGTGAAAGCTGGACACCAATTAGGTGTTTTATACATATGCGCATGCACGCATGCACGCACGCACGCACACGCACACGCACACGCACACACACACAGATATATATATGACAACCTATGCAACCAGATTTTACTTGTGTCTCCTTATAATATTTCTATGAAAGTTAAGTAAATATTCCTTTATTATTTGGGTGAATTAATTTTAAAAGAATACTACAAAGCTCGGCCCTACTACTAAAATAATTAAAAAATAAAATCACTCTGAACAGTAATAAAAAGAAAAGGAAATTTCCAACTGCAGGTACTTTCAGATGCTTCAATACATGAAAAGTCCATTACTATTCATTCAGTAAACTGCAATTGAAAATTAAGAACTGTAATAACTCAAATTTCAAACTCTATAAGCTTAGTCCTGAAGCCAAAAATGGTGATATTCCAGGAATGTTAGTTGAGACACTCAAACAGGTGTCTTCTAGGCCTTGGAGTTTGGTTATGAAAAGAAAAGAACTAGGTTTCCTAATAAGATACTGACACCTCTGACAATTGTCATATAGCATAAAAATATACACTGAATATCTAAATAAATTCTCTACAATTTGATTTGCAATTTATGACAATCTATATAATTTTACCAATAAATGCCAAGCTACTTGTTCAGAATACATTATATGTAAACTAGATGAATAAGTAGTATCTGATTCCTATTTTTTTGTGATTATTGGACAGTAACCTTGGAAACAGTCATGATATAAATTTCTCTATCTTGTAAGATCTTGAGACAATGTCACAAAAACAATGGGAAATCAATAAAATCCAATGGCATGAAACAATAGCAATATATTGTGCTTCAAGATCTGGCGAAGGTCAATATACACATTCAACAAGGCAGAACTTGGAAATCACATTTTGTGATGATAAACTGCAAGTGAGATATTCAAGCACAAACTCATCAGAATAAAGAGGTTTGTTGAGCACTGCGAGAATAAACATATCTAGACTTTGATATAAAGGCTTATCTTTATTGGCACAAACTTTATTTTTCATAAGTGTTATTCTGTGTTCTTTATAATCCTTATTTTTTTCTTTTGCTATTTTGGCTTAATGTTTTTTTAAACAATAGGCTAACAATGAAAAAAGAGCAAAGTCCTATTTATAGAGTAAAAAAAGGCTAACTAATGACTACATCTGCATCTTATCATCAATTTAGTGGCTGACACTTTCTGCATAAACCATCTTTGTTTCATGTAGTTTTTATGCTGGAGATTCTATGATATTTGGAATTTATTACAAGAAGATGACCATAAGTTAGTAGTATGTACACAGTGCTGAACATCCTTGTACTAGATTTGGAAAATGAAGGTAGCTAAATCTCAATAATCAACCCAAACTATTAATTCTTGAACTTAAAATCAATCTGAAACTAGTCCCATGACATCCATGGCCTCTGGCAAAGCTAAACAAGATGAGGGAATTACAATCTGAGTGGTGATATGCAGGGTATATTTTCACCATTTAGCAGGGACTATGAGGCCACTGCTGCGTAAACTATGTTGTATCCTATTCTATTTCTTCCACTATAAGATGGCTGTGTCCATTTCCCTCTATCTATGCACATTGCTATTAGTAACTTATACCACAATCTAAGTTGCTGTGACTGGGTGTGCCTGAGGGGAGAATTAATAGGGGGTTCTGCCCTCAAAGTCCCCCTGGGAGACGCTGTCTTCTGCATGCACAGTAAGATAAGAGTGAAACAGGAGGACCGAGCGGCGGTTTCCAAGATATTTTTCCTTTATTTGTGGGGTTTCCAGTTGAGTTTGTAGATTATTTCTTGTACTAACAACAACTCTTAGTCCACTACTAGAAGATCTTCAATTTCCCTTATTTTAGTGTGCCCATACCATACAAATTAACTCCTGGCATAAGTCTGGCTTTTCACCCAAATGCTGAAGGTACAGGGGCCACAGCCATTGCTAAATTCATTAGAGGTGTATTTTTGATAAGCAATTATGACATTTTATATGTTCTTTATATTTATCACCTTTGCTTTTTCTCTATCTACACATAGTTCAGGTTCCACAAAACATAAAAGTCTGAATCAATGTTTTATTCAAGATTCACAAACATTGGTTCCTTAACAAGCCCAAATATATGCATATAATAATTTGGGATAATAATTCAGAAACTGACAATCACTTTGCCAAGAACAAAATAAAGACCAATCTTAACCAAGCATCATTGCCAAAGATAAGAATCTGGCAGAGTCATCATGAAATGTGAGTGTCCCCCCAAAAAATAAGCGAATGGTATTAGATTACATTGAACGATATTACTCTTCAGTACGAAAGATAATGACCCAGCAATGAACTTGTTAATGCTGATCGTAACGAATAAACTGGAAACTGCCCATAATCACACACTAATATTCACAAATTACTGGATGATAATGAAATCTACGCCTGGCTTACAAATGAAATATTAATAACTAACGTAAAACACTGTGATACCTAAAACCAAAAGGAGAATTAACACTTGCTTTTGATAAATTCTTGTCGAAACCTCCTCCTTCTGACACAATCTTCATAACTTGCTGCAAGAACTTTTTCCCTCCGTTTGCGGCCGCCATTTCTACCGAGGAGAGATGAATGGCCCAGATAGCCTGAGATGGGTTGGTTTCGTCTGGCGGTCTGAATGTTTTTGGAACATGAATACTCGTACGCGCGCTCGCTGACCGGTTCTAATACTGCCCGTTACCTCCCGGCTGAAAACATTATCTTAAAAAGAGGAAGGAAAAAAAATCCGTTTATAGCTACCGGGCAATATATTTCTACACACTCACTCACTCACGCGCGCGCGCGCGCACGACCCTCACCCCCTCACACAAACAAACACACACACGCGGGCGCGACCCCACCCCCTCACACAGACAAACACACACACACACACACACATACACACACACACACATACACGCGACCCCCACTCCTCACACACAAACAAACACACACACACACACGACCCCTACCCCCTCACACAGACAAACAGACACACACACACACACACACACACACACACACACACACACACACACACACACACACACACACACACACACACACACACACACACACACACACACACACACACACACACACGCACGCACACGCACACGTACACACACACAAGGTCTACGTATGTGTGTAAACTACCATCACTTGCAATATTTATTTACGTATTCTTCATACATTACTGTCATTGTGCATCTGCTGTCATCCCTTACTGGTTGATGAAGAACATTGTGTATTTAAATCACGATAGTCTGTCAGTCGTTGGGGAAACCGTAAAGTTGTATAGTTTTGCATAAGTTGAATAAATATATTACAGGGTAATATATTTATTCAACATATGAATTCAATATATGAAGCGAGGCTTCATATAGTGTTGCTGCCAATATGTTTCCGTAATGTAATAACCTGGGGATTTTGTTCAAGGCGGGATGCTGCGAATCACAGTTTCCTCTTACTGCTTCAAGGTCAAGAATTACAGAGGAAAAGATCCATACATATTGACCGTGGATATGGGTTATCAGCCATGTCTAATAAAACTCACTATGTCTTGATACACACACACGTCTGTGTGTATGTGTATGTATATAAATAGAGAGAGTTATAATTGATAGAGACACACATACATATGTGTGTTATATATATATATATATATATATAATATATATATATATTATATATATATATATATATATATGTATATAAGAAAAACCACAATGCACAAACTAGATTTATTGAGGAAAGTGAGACAAGTTTCGGAATCGTCCTCGATTCCATCTTCGGGTCTGAAGATGGAATCGAGGACGATTCCGAAACTGTCTCACTTTCCTCTATAAATCTAGTTTGTGCATTATGGGTTTTTTCTAATATATATATATATATATATATATATATATTATATATAATACACACATATACATATATATATATATACACACACACACACACACACACACACATGTACATGTATGTACAGTATTTGTATAAAATGTTTCCCTTGAACTTACATTGCAAAACAATGGAATTATAAAATTTAGATTATGTAGCGAACATAAGTAATTATTATGTCATATGATACCCGGCAATTTTGTTTATAGGCATTTCAATTTTATTGTTCACGCTATTCCTAATATATTTATGTGAATGTATATGTATTTATATATTATATACACATATATAATATATATATATATATATATATATATATATATATATACATATGTGTATATATGTTTGTATATGTATATGTATATATAAATATATACATACATACATATATATACTATACATAGACATTAATCATAGATATTTGTGTATTTCTATGTCCATCAAATGTAAAATACCATAGTTGCATGTATTCCTTGATACAATTTCAAACAATTAATACTGCAGTACCCTTAATGCCAATTCTGATTATACTAACCATTACTCCATTAGTCTGAATACTTTACCTATATACTCATATGTGTATTTTTGTATATGTATTTATATACATACATATTTATACATATATATATATATATATATATATATATATATATATATATATATTAGCAGATAAATTTATCAAAGAACTGCAACTTTCATCTTGATAATCACTAATTTATTTGAAACCATACTTGGTCACAGTAAAAACACAGGATTGAACTAAAACAATAAATCTTCAGAAAAAATTTAATATATGTTCCATTTGTGGATTATATCTGTTTGCTTTCAGAGGATTATGTATTTCTATTATGGTAAGTAATATTATAAACTTCTATAAAATATATGTTGTTACAGAATACAGGAAGACAACATTAACAATTCAACCGTTTACAGTATACACAGGAATAATTTGTACTTTACTTTCTACAGTATGGCCACACAGTGGGCAAGAATATGTAGGATCTAATGCATAACTGGAATGAATACAATAATAGCAAGCCAGGTGTTGACATCCATAGCTATGGGGTAGTACAGGAGGGCAATTACATACTACACATGTAGTGTGTTGGTGAAAACTGACTTCCTGTTCTTTTAAATCATCATTATCAACAGCACTTGGTAACAGTTTCCTGACTACATTGTGAAAATACTGAATATTAATTAATGGTAAAACAAAAGAAAGGAGTTCTGCAAATCCATGCCACAATAATTCTCTTGTGAAATACACATACGATATTTTCCGTACGTTTCTAATATTTGATGACACTGGTTTCAATCTGAGCATTCTTTCAACAACTGATGGGTATATTCCTTCTTTAAGAAACACTAAAAGATTTAATAACTGTGACACCATATACAATATTTCTAAAATGTTAATACACTGGCTAGCAAACAGTTTTGCACTTTCATCTCTAAGAACTGCTGCAGCTATATTTCCGGCTCTTTGCTTCAACCATCTTCCAAATACCAGAAGGAGGACGTAATTGCGGAGTCTTCTATTAGAAACCAAATCATCATATTTGATTTGCAGTAGC